TTACTGTCAAGAAGTAGAGTACAACAGCGAGGAACAAAGAGGCCGCGGAACAGTTTTTTCTTTGAAAATTCATGAAAACAACAGCTGCGAAGGAATGGCCAACGTCTTTACGAAGCGGTTCTATCTATAGTTTCAGCTGTTGAATGTTTTCGTTGTTTTACCCTCACCCAGACCCAGGGCACTAGTGCGGAAGAGCTACATATGGGCTCACCTACTACTCCCAAATACCGTATGTAGACCAGCATATGGAGCTGAATCTGTTCGGGCCAATCGGGTCTCTAGTGTTTGAGGTCACATACATAATTGTAAAAGGTTAGTTTAGTAGCTGGCCCTACAAGCAAGAAGGCTGGGCTCCTAAAAACAAATTTTTGGGTGCTCCCTAGACTGAGATTCGAGTGCTACTTCAAATTAGCCTGAAAATCAACTGCAAGGCGCATCCAGGGAGGATTCACCGTTCCTCGATAAATTCTTCTTTCTATTCCCCGCATATGTTTCTAAGAAAATTCATTTTTAATTTTATCTTATGTGACACCTCCTCTAATGCCGTTCAATCCGAAAAGGATTTTCACAGAGTGGGATTTAATCAGCTTTTCCTTCAATGCACCCTTCTGTAATCCGGTCACATTGCATGTGGCTCGCATACGTGCTACAAAATCCGCCCTGATCAATCGATTCGTAGATACGCCATGCCTCAGGCTCCTAGTCGAAAATGTGGTGGGATTGGCACTGTACCGACATCGTTGGCTGACTAACCAGCCATAAACTCATTGCCATATTACTTTTACGCCACTCAAATAACTCGGTTGATGTGACAGTAGACAGATTCGATGTCATGAGCCTTCTTCAGCCTTCTTCTGCTTCAGCCTTCTTCTCCCTCTACTTCATGTATTTACCCCTGCGTGGTTACTAGTAGCAGGAGGGTAGCGATTCTAGGGCATAAATAAGATTTGTTTATTGGCGCCGCGGCTTACTACCCATTAAGCCGTTTACTAATACAAACAAATAGGACCAGTTGAAAACCTCAAATTTAACCGCTCAACAGATCAACCGAACAAGCTGGTTTGGATCGTTTGACGGGAATCGGTCCGACTTCCATACCATTCCGAACATCGATGCCTTAGAGGCTTTACTGATCGAGATCACAGTGGAAGACTTCCTTTTACACCGGGAAAGAACTTGTTCGGATGAAGGGGTAAATATTGATCATAACGAGTTTTTCTAAAGGGTTTACGTAATATCTGCCATTACAAATAACCTGACTCACCGTATGACAACACGTATTACTCACGGTTTTCTACTGGTACTCTGTTACACTCAAAAACTGATTCCTTTGACAAACAGAAGGGAAAAGGGTAGTAGGGTCAAAGGTAGACTGGGAAGAAAGCCTAAGCTATAAAGATTATGCCATGCATTTGTCTTCCGAAATAACTGGAAACTAATCTCCAGTTAGAGTTCGCCGCTTAACCTCAGTCTCTGGAATCACTCCTTAAGTTGTTCCATTTAAAATTTATTCAATCATTTTTTGAGATCCACAGTTTCAATTTTTGGATGTTTTCTCTTCGATTACAGATTTTTAAACGGGATCGGGGTAATTTTTTATTTTTATCAGAACGGGGTGAACTTTTCAAATTAATTTTATCCCTACTACCGCGCTCAGGTCTACTTCTTCCCACATTACCATTCCCAAAACCAGACTTCTTTCAAAGTTAACCGCTCTTCAGCACAAGCGTAGGGCTCCCGGATCTGCCAGATCCGGACGGCCAGGTGCCATCCTACTGCACACCTCATTGACGACGTTGATGATGTGTGCTGGTTCCCGAAAGTTCTGTGGTCTACGTGATCGCGGCGGTTGTTTATTTTAGGCCATTCTGACGCAAACGTATCGTCGTTCTGTTGTATGGCTCTCCGACACGGTCAAGACTTGTTTTGGCAATTTCCCGATATCGTCATTTCTTTCTATAGGAAACCCGTATCATAATAAACAAACACGTAAACATGAAAGGAAAAGATCTAGGTGTTGTTATGATAGGACTCTCAGGAGTGATCCATAAACTCGAATTCCATGAGGGTATAGCCATTTCTCAGATATATATTATCTGCACTCTGCCCAAAAGATACACAATATGAGGGGTTGCGCCAGGCGTTTCACTTCTGCTCCAAGTCACTTAGGTCATAGACTCTCCACAAGCTCTTCATTTATATGGAGCAGGTACTTTGCTCTCCCAAGCTGGTCTGTTACGAATCTACCTATTGAATATGGCTTGAGCCAGATTAAACTTTAGGATTGAGGACGAGGACACAGCCTATCATCCACTGGATACCACTCCGGCCTCTCTTTTACACTATCCAAAGGCACAGGTGATGGGAGGGTAAAAAGGAGAGGGTGCCCGAAAAATGTACCCGAAACGTTTTACTGTTAACTATTGAACTACCTGTGCTCGTGAATGGAGATGAAATTCGGGTATGGTACCGAACAGAACGATTGCTGAATCCGAATCGATAACTATCTTGGTCAGAACTTACCCCAGCATCGTACTGACCGAGTAAACGTATATTGGCTTGCCCTTCACAATCCCAAAGCCAGGTAACACTCAAATACTACAGAGATTTTGAGGGGAAGTTGTGTGTGCTTGCTTGCCAAACAGAATTAATTACCACCAAAAAAAGAATTAAAAATTATTTTTTATTTCGATTTTTATCCAGCATGCTCAGTGTTTGCTATTTTCAGGTCGAACATCCTCTGTTTCAACTTTGCCGTGATATGCATGTCGGAAACGTCGGACGTGAAGAACTACTCCGGCAACACAACGATAGCCGATTCGCGTGCCGTCCGTCCATTCACAAATCGTATGTGCTTACTCGTACGTCAAAACTCTATTCTAGCGTCGTTGTTTGCTTGGGAACTGGTACCGAGGCTGACGACGGAGTTCCGGGGATGGCTAATGCCGCTTACTAGGGGACAGCTGATGGCAGCAGGAAACAATTGAACATGGCAATACTTTTAGGTTTACCGATTACGGGTTGAAAGAGATGTCCCGTCTAGCAGGAATCTTCTCCGGGCCTCTTCTTTATATGAGAGAGCACACTCTTTACTCTGTTTCTCGCTAAAGATCAACTTGTGCTAGGGCTTCAAAGGATATGGTCAACGAACCAGCAATTTATTCGACCACCCCCGGACCCATTTGGCAGATTGGATGCCTTCCTACTTACTAATTCCACCCTCACTCGAACCAGTTACTGCATAAGCTCGGGGATTTCATAACAACCTTTGTACTATCTTCGAGTAGAAGGCTCTAGGTCAGTAAGAAGGTTAGGAAATTCCCATAAGGTAATCGATATAGAATGTCACCCAAAAGACTCGGTTCAGTGGAAGAAGATAAGTTGGAGCCCTGCCTGCTCGGTGACCTAGCTAATCTACATTTTGCTGGTAATGAAATACAGACTGGGTGTAACTACTTAGACCAAAAAATTGGAGAACACTGGTTACCCAGGGCTGCATAGGACTTTGGTGCTTTCAAATTACCTGTGTCCGTTCAGCATAAGACTTCACATAGATATGTAACACTTTTTATAATTGAAGTTTTGATTTGGGAAGGACTTACAGTGAGCAAGTTCCACCTAATGGAGCCCATCCAGTGGTTCTTGTCAATTTTTTCAACATTGATCATACTCTATGCCATATCTTCCTAGTACTATCTACTACTATCTGGTACCAAGCCTACTCATATCTCGCCGTAGTTCTTTGAGCGACCCAGCCCTTGCTGAAGCCAGGTTCCCACGAGATCTTGATACCAGTTTTTCTGCCAAGAGTATGTCGCCGAGTCTGTCGTCGCCACGCGGTTACGGTGTCGTCGATGAGCGTGTTGCGAGCGATCCACGATGACGACCGGTCACAGATGATAGTGATTGATGGTCGGTCGATGATCGTCGCCCCGCCACCAACCTCTTCTACGGCAGAACATCATTGATTATCTCGATGATGATGGTGATGACGATGACGACAAGAAGTGGGCGCATTTCAAAGGTCACAGCAATTGGATCAGGTCCAGAGGATCCACCGGAAGAAGATTTGGGAAGAGATCTTTATCTAGGAAAAGTGATCTCTGCAAGGGCACACACTGGAATCCCAAATGAGAGAAGTACAGTAGGGCCTTGGGACTACACCACAATTACAGCTTAGGGAGATCCTTGGAAAAACGGTTTACCTTGTTGGGTAGAACATCCCCACACCTATTCTGGGTATCTTCGAACTAGAAGAACAAGTACTGGAGCTGTTCATTTCTTACTAGTTTCACCTAGCAGATGGTTCCTACGGGCCTTATACAGGTTGCAGTTACATTGGGAACCGATTCAGGTACTGTAACACTGTTTATTCTGTTTCGCTGTGCAGCATCGCATCAGAATGAACGACCTGTCTCCTTTTTGGGAATGGGTCTTAAACCAAACTCGTTTTTTAGTCTCTCTTAGGTTTCTACTTCCAAAATTAGCTTTAAGCGGCGCCTTAGCTGACTATAGAGGGATCATAACAGCTGTAGCATTCCCCCCAGGAGGCAGTGACAATTTTTTTTCTATGGCGACCACTGGGTCACAGAGTGCCATCACAGTAAAAACTAGGTCGTAAGCGCTTATCTACAGTTGGTCCTGTCCCAAAGGTCCTTCAGAACTTATGAGATTTACCAGTCATCTGTGAGACCATTACTTTTCGACGGACTTTCTTCTTTTTCTAACAAGCTGCTCGGTGTAATCATATTAACAAGGAGCTAAAGTCTTCTAAAAAAAGAGCAATAAAAAGAGAGGAAATAGCATAAAGACAGGACAAAAGCAGAGGGAACAGAGAGCTGGATCGATGGCACCTCCTCACCCACACTTTTTTTCTGAGGACGTTTCTTTTCTATTTATTCCTGATCCTTGAGATACCTACACTGCTCAGACATTCAAAAAAGTAAGGGTCAGTCGGATGGATTACAGAGAAACGGTAGTAGACTAACTGGATTACTGTACTGAGCACTGACGGCTTATGCCGTTTCAGGAAAACATATCCCACGTTTCGGAGAGCTATTATCGATAACCTCTTCGGTACTCAACGCTAAAAAAAACTTTCAAAATGTTTCTTCTGTTTTTATTTTGATTCTAGTAAATATGTATTTACAGGACAAGAATCTTGGGCGATTGCGATTGTGGCGGTAGCAGCTCTACTGGGAAATTTCCCTGTCGTACATTTGGTGAATAAAGTTGGAATCCGGACTGTTTTTTCTAGTCTGGGAATGCTCAGCGCTGTGTCAACGCTACTTATTCCAACGTCTATCAGAGTGAGTATTTTAGTATTTCAGTTCTGCTTCGTAGTGCCAGTGAACTCAAGCGAGGCAACTAACTAGGAACATCGCGGTGGTTAATAGTTAGTCGCCTCGTTTTGCTCTTCCTCCACAATTTTGCTTCCTCTGAAATGATTAGGCTGAAAGATTTATCCACATAGGTAACTTTCATATTGCTTTACAAGGGGAGACGGGCGTTAAGAACGATTTTGGGTAATCGATTCGCCGCATGCGGCTGTCGCGGACCACTCATTCGCCGTTATTACAGCTCTAGCGTTCTTCATACAGCTNGGGAAACAACAGAAAATGAAACTGGACGAGAGTAAACATTTTGGAAAACANTCATACAGCTCAATCGATATGCGATCATTATTTTATGCATAATTCTACTATTAATACTTTTGTTCTTGTATTTTTCACCTACTGCCGCATCCTGCTACATCCCTTCGCGCGCGACGCCCCTCTCACCGCGACGCGACCACTTCTTTCCTAATGCACCACACCCCTTTGCAAGAACTTGGCAAGGATCAGTAATTTATAAAAAAATAATTTTATTGCTTGACCCCATATAGTTGGAAAAGCATCGTAGGTAAGAAGTTTTTTTTGGGAAAAATAGAAAATGTAACTAAAATGTAACTGGCTCAGTTCTGATGGAAAAAAGTTGAGTGGGCCATTATTCTCCAAAGCGGGATGGAATTTTAAGAGCTGGATGGCTTGCGGTGTGAGAGAAGGGGTGTAGGTTCGTTGGCGGATCAGTGTGGGTTACTTCAACTGAAGCAGTCAATCATTTTTACCTACTATTCCAATTTCAACTGCAGTATCCCATCTGAGTTGTGTACATGCCACTTTTCTTTAAGAAATTTTCTGCATAATTCCTGTCAATGCTAATTTCGGAAGAAATATGAATGATGTGGGAACAAAGATCGTTCACTTGCTCACTTGCTCACAGTTCACTTCCTCAACTGTGGTCCATCCACGGGTTGATCAGAACCGGTTCTACCCTCAACTACTGAACGAATCTTTGTAGATGGACCGTAATTGACCAAGCTGTCATCAAACAACACATGCTTACGTTGACTGATAGCCTAATCTGTTCGGCGAATACGTACTCTTTCAGCTCGGTTTTTACTGGTTTCTCGTGGCACGATTTCTGCAGGGATTCGCGTTTGCAGCAAATTTTCCGGTGATCGGATCGTTCTGCGCTAAATGGACGTACTTCAAACAGGTATGGTATTTTTGACACAGAGACTTTTGCAATGAGGCTAGGCACGAAGAATTCGAATATTCGAGAAGCCAAGGGTACACTATTGGGGTCCCATGGGGAAACAGATTGGTTAGGAGGAGGGGGTGGTGTAGTAAAGCATCTTGGTTAATCATTCAAGGTCTGTGCCACTCATTTGATCCCTATCCGGGTTAGCACAGTGGATTTTTAGCCCAAAAACTGATTGGTGGGGCCCTGCTCTTGTTTGAACTGGGGGGCTTATCCTTCTAAACCTGTAGTATCACTCCTCTGATCCTCCCTCTTCGTTTGGAGGTCAGATCTGTGGGAAAGTTTCTCCTGGGACTGTGGGCTGGATGGCTCTTTTCTCTACCACCATTTTGTAAACACTCTAACCCGTCCGGCTCCACTTGGGTCACTACATAACCTCATTCATGATGGAGCTCTCTTCAGCTGATTTCTTCCTTTACTTATGGTGACTGCTCAAAAATTTCCTGGATAGCCTATCCATAGATCTGTCCTTCTCGGATCACTCGAATCTCGAATTGGACTTCTCCAGAAACCTTTAGAAATCCTACTTCGTCCTGATTTCTAACAAATCTTATTTCAGAATGGTCTATTTGTCTCGGCACTGGTCGCGTACGTTCAACTGGCACCCGCCTGTACGATGCCAGCTTCTGGAGCACTTTGTTCAGCATTCAGGTTAGTTGTAAAGCTACTCGCATTGTTGAACACTGCATAGGTATACTAGTGGGCGTAGTGAGGGGATTAGCCAGTCGTGCCGATTTCAAAGCGAAGCGAAACTGAAGCGTGTCGATCCATTCGAATCCTGGGCAGACCAATTATCGGAAAATTGAGTTTTGAACTCCCGTAAACCGTTGTCTGGCTCAACTGCGATCAGAATCACGTTATAAAAATGGATTTTTCGAATTGAAAAGGGAATGGAATATGATTATCCATATTCAACGCACTACAAACAGTTTTTCGGTAAATTTAGAATCACACGCTAACATAATTTCATGGCTATAGTTTATGGAATGCTCCTCCCTAAGCTGACTTCAATGACATCACTTGAGCCATGCCCTTTGAACTGGTTCCCAATTCTCACGGGACCCAGTTCGCACGGGACCATAGTAATCCAAAAAAAATTACCATTGATTACACTCACATATCATCGAAAAGCGTAGAATTTTCATAAACACTGTTCTCGGGTTTATACTACGAAAATAGAGGCGCTAAGTCGCCCGTCAGTACGTTGCTCGAAACCCATGCGGTTTTTCTGTATTTACTCTCACACAACAAGATTTTGGGAAACAACAGAAAATGAAACTGGACGAGAGTAAACAATTTGCAAAGCGTTATTTATTTCAAAAAAAAAATACTCCATGAAATTGACTTCCAGACAGAATCGTAAAAATATTCGATTAATGTTTAGCGATTTGTTTGTTACACTTATTTCCGGATGGGTAAACACTGCCTATTTTCAGATGGCCATCGATTTTCTACGCTCATGGTGCTGTGTCGTTGTTTTTGTTTATTACCTATGGTCTTTTCTACCGAAATTCTCCTGGAAAACATCCATTCGTCGGAAATGTCGAGCTCAGAAAGATCAGTGTTGGAAAGATTGGAAATGTCGAGTACGTTTACAATTGTCTTTACTAAAATGCCAAATTGTTAAAAGTATTTTACGGTTATGCCATGCATCCGACATCTTCTCCAAGTTTTCTAGGCAATTAAACTCGGATTTACATTGAACCATTGACTGGGGTGACCTGCTATTTCTAAGATCAGTCTCCTACGCCCTTGTCAGTCTGGTGGACAATTCTGGGAGGAAAGCGCGATGTATACCTCTTAAATCAAATTTAATTCGCTAGAGTTACTTAAAAAGGAACAAAAACCTTCCGTCGTCAATTGGTGAAAATAGATATTCGTAAGGTCACATTTGCCTACAATAAGTCTTCATGAATGAATGTGGAGGTGTTTGGGAGACTCAAAATAAACTTTTGGTGTCCCGTGACCGGAAAGAAAACAAATGCATCAAATTTGGTAAAGGACAACTCGATCAGCGCTGACCAGGCATAAGGGTGTTATAACTTCCAGTTGAGACCGTAACAATCGAATTTGATGCGAATTGCATGGGGCTACTATATTAGAGGGGGGAACATTTAGTTTCCACAGGTAGGCGCTTTTTTTCCTCCTAGGCTATACCAACCGATGGGTACCGGAGGAGAACTGAATTGACCTAGTAGGGGTAGACAAACTGGGACTTGATCTGGGATCAGATTTTCGTGGTGAAACCCGCTGTTATTACCTGACTTCCTTTCTGCCGACATCTACGGCATCATAAGGCTTTACTTGGAAGCTTCGTGTTACCATTCGTTTGGGTAGCTCCCCTCTCTGAAACAAATAGAAAGTAGGTCCTGCTACGCTACTAGAACTAGCTCATTCCGACTACAGGTGCACTCATTGCGATCCTCGGCTAGTTCTAGTTTTTTTTTGTTATAATCCATACCCAGGTGTTAATCCGCTCGACCACAAACCAGGTCGCCGGTCGACATTTCGCAGGGATGGTCCTAGACTTTTTCTGGAAGTTCACCACTAAACATAGAGGAAAATGTGATAGATCTTGGTAGTGTAGTGGATAAACATGGTGCTCTGAATGNTTTTTTTTTGTTATAATCCATACCCAGGTGTTAATCCGCTCGACCACAAACCAGGTCGCCGGTCGACATTTCGCAGGGATGGTCCTAGACTTTTTCTGGAAGTTCACCTGTTAAACATGGAGGAAAATGTGATAGATCTTGGTAGTGTAGTGGATAAACATGGTGCTCTGAATGCGTAAGCACGATCAAACCCTATTAAAAACTGAGCTCTTTCCCTAACCTCTCAGAATCCCGTTCCCTTTTTTCCTGTTCAAGCGTCCCGGAGAGGGTTCAGAGGTTTACATAAATTAAGTCGAACACAGCCCTCACTCTCCCATAGCAAGCTGACATGAAAAGAAAATATGTATTCAAATGTAATGGATATTAATAAAAATTTGATAAGAAGTGATTACTTCCACATGAATAGAAATAACTTTTCCACTCAGGACACACCTATTCAGTGTGTCTATCCATTCACTTATCGATCTGTATCGATTGATTTCAGCAAGCGAGCTCTTCGAGCAATTCCATACGGAGCCATTCTATCGACACCAGCAATTTGGGCTGTATGGATCGCTTCTATTGGGAATTTCACTTGTGTCAATATGATGTTTCTTTTCTCGCCAAAGTATCTCTCTACTGGTGAGTACCTTTGTTAGCTATCCAAACCAGTATGGATCCAGGAAAGGAGTAGCGGTTATGCTGTATCGCGGGCCCTCCTCAGCTCAAGAGCGACGGCCGGAAAATCTCGCCATACTCGGGAAACCAAGTCTTGGGGCTGGGGTTTCGAATGAACTCCCGAAAATCTCCTCTAATCAGGCTTTGCCGCGCACCTCGACCTTGTTTCGTTGCAATGACCTAAATGGGGACTCTTGTCCCACCTTTCCTGCTGCTTCAAGCAGTGAGCCAAACTTTAGTTAAACCGCGTCATCATGTCTATGATCTCCAAACCTTCAGCAACCGCTTCTTTCACTATAATAAATACTTGCGTAATGGAAAAGATCTAGTTCCTAAGAGTTAATTATTTAGTTCTGGGCTTCGCTGTCCACAAGACCGGCTTCACTGCTGCTCTGCCACCTCTTGCCCAATTTCTCAGCAAGTTGGCTTTCGGTGAGTCGTCGTTTTAGTGCTGATACATTAGGATCTATCCAGAAAAAAAATAGATTACCGAACGAGTACGCAATTGGTGACAAGTGAATTGCGGTTGCGACGCGGCTAAGCTTTAGCAGATTAGCTCAGCCGCTCCGCAACCTCGACGTACTCTAATCGTTCTTTGGGAAAGCCTAAATTTAGGGATTTTTTTTCAAAATTTTTTCGCTTAGGTATGCTATCGGATCGTATAAAATGCATTTCGGAACAGAACAAATTCCGAATCTTCAATTCATTGGCCTTCTTCGGATCGGCAGCTTTTCTGACGATTTTGGCTTTTATGGGAGATGTCTATAAGGTAAGTTTTGCAGCCTTTTACGAAAAAAAAAAGTCCGGAAAAAGGAAAAAGGAAAGGAAAATGAAAACGTAAATGAAAAAGTGAAAAAATGTTGGTATAGGGGGAAACTTAAGGACACCTTTCACATAAGCATATTAGGTTTTTCAGAATTATAACATGATCGTATTTGGATGTGCAGCCGGTGTTCTCGGAGCTACTACAGGTGGTTTCTTCAAAGCTGGCCCAGTGATTTCAAAGCAATACAGGTAAATCAACATTAATTCTTTCGACTCACTCGTAGTGGAAGAGTTCAAGGTTTTTGGAGGTTCAATGCTTCTAATGTAGATCAGGACGGGGGTGGTGTAGTGGTAAGTGGCGCACTACCGCAACCGCATGGTCACTGGTTTGAATCCCGGACCGATATCCACCTGAGCCAACCAAGCCCTCCAAGCCTCCGGAGTCGGTTAATTGGTATCAGACCTGTCTGGAAGGGTATAAACACTGGCTTGCTCATCGACTGGCCACCGCCAGTCATTGTATAGGCCACATGTGCATTCAATACGCCACTGCGGTTTTTAATATAAGACAAATGTGGGGCGCATCCCTCAGTCGGTATTGATCAAACCCTGAAGACATTGTCCTTTTAATATAGATCACAAAAATCGATTTGTTTTATGAAAGCTGAAAATGATAAATGAAAATGCTGGAATATACGCAAGGCAATTGCTCGCGTCCCAAATGGTTCTCCTCCCATGTATCACTTCCCAAACAACGAACTAAGCTTGAAATTTGTCCCAAATAATCAGGGATAATTTTCACAACTGTAGTCTACGAGCACAAAAAGCCTCTCAAATGCTTATTGTTAATAGTTATTGAAAATTTTCAGTCATTTCGTAACCGGTAACATCTCTCTTGGGATTACAATTACAATGCTTATTGTTCCGTTCATCGTTAACTCTCTTACGCCTCATTCCACGCAAGAAGAATGGAAATGGGTCTTCCTTATCATCGCTGCCGTTATGGTAAGTGCTTTCCTATGGGCTTCTATTTTGCCTCGCCTAAAAAGGAACCCTCAGGCCTACTTGTGGAGTGCCCAATCTTCGCCATCCGCCATTTTCAGCAATTTCCTTTCAGGTAGTGACAAATCTCATCTTTATGGTGTTCATCAAAGGTGAACCATGCCGATGGACACAAGACGATTTCGTGCGTTCACAGATGAGAAGCTCCATTAAAGTTCAAGATGTCGTCGTTACACCTTCACCTGCTGGTCAACGCTTCTAATCTGTTTTCCTCCTTAGCTCGTATTCACTGCCCTTAGTCCCACTGATCGCCCTTATGCCTCGTTCTTAAGGATGACCAATACTCCTACGTTATGTAAGCCCGTACAGGAAACGGGCCCCCCAACTTTTACTAAGTGATTAGATTCCGATGCCTTTAAGGAGAAAATCGCACGTGTTCTATGGATAAAGGAGGATGTAGTGTTTGAAAAATGCTCACCTCACTCCTGTCGATGATCTCATTTTTGTTTTTTATCAGATCTATCGATATCAGCGCTCAGTACTGTATCGATTGATTGCTATTGATTCGTGTACTATAAATTGTTTTCAGTTACATATCGGGATACGTTTTTAGTGTCTGATTTTTAAAATAAATAAATTATATATCGTACCTGTTGGAGGGCAGAGGTGATGTAGTGGTGAATGTGGCGCACTATCACACAAGCATAGTCCAGATTCTGATCCTGGGACGATGCCCACCTGGGCCAACCAAAAACCCTATCCTGCCCTGCGTTGGATACTGGCACCAAGTTCTTTTGGGACGATAAAAACAGTGACGTGTACATCAGATATTCATATAGTACCTGATATAGAAAGGTAGTAGTAGATATATTAATGTTTGCTTCTATGTGAATCGAACCGGTATCTTCGCGGATCAGACATTATCAGACGTGATACCATCGATCAAGGGTGATCCTCCTCTTCCGAATAGGTAATATGAAACGATATTTTTTCCATTCCTTTAATCTCCCATACCATGAACATGAATAGTTTGAGGTGTGTTGCAACCAAGGTATGCGACATTAGGTCAGGACGTAGAGTCGAGCGATTTAGCCGCAAACTGTGAACGATGGGAAATTCACCCCATTCGTGAATCACTCCATTAAACCGTAAGTAAGACAAACCCTGCACCATTGATACTCAGTACACATAATTTTTTTAGGAGTGATTTTCAAGGTAGGGAAACATCATAACCAAAGTGATATTGTAGGTAAGGTGTTCACTTCGTTCCATATTAAGGTTTTGTATTAAGTTCCAATGACCCTACTGCACCGTTTGAGGTTGTCTTTTGAGCTGCAGGACCGAGATTGCAACAAAACTTTTACGCTGTCGATTCCCCTGGAGGTCCTCTCGGCGGGGCGGGGTCAGGAGGCTCCAGGAGTTGACTGGGAAGGGGTCGACTATCACCAAAGGTTAGTTAACAACTTTCGACTTCCTAGTAGTCCACGCCCTTTCAACTTTCCTTATAGATTGAAATAACGCTTGATCGGATGGCTTTCAAATGCCTTTTGTCTTTCCAGGCTCCAAGGAAGGTGAAGGCACCGAAACGTCAGCCTAATAAAAGTTTGTTGCAATCTCGGTCCTACAGCTCAAACGACAACCTCAAACTGTGAAGAAGCATACCGAGATTTTTAGACAGTTCCATTTGGGACTGTCCAAAAATTATTTTGTTCCCACAGTTTTACGTCGCACAGGACAGCGCTAATACAAGTGCTTATTTACTTCAAGTCATCGAATTATGGTTAACTGCTACCCACATCCAGTGAGTTCGTCGCAAAATGGGTTGAAAAATGGAACAGGAAGTGAGTAATCGAATGTTGACGGCTGGCACTTTAATCACGCCGATGATCGACGATAATGAGTTGCGTGGCCGTGAGTCGGATAAGCTTCAAAGCCGCATTTTCTTAAAATAGAAATGCAAGAATGATATACTGCCCGTCATGAAAAACAGACACATCAAGTGTCGGGGCTTTTCGGAAGCATAATCACTTCAAGTGGGAATAGGGATATCTTCACGACAAGTTTCTTTTATGCCGGTAAATGAGTAGGAAAGATGATAAGAAGGATGTTTCGTGTCTCTCACCTGAGCGGTTGCCTTAAAGCATTTTATCACCTATTTGCCAGTTCTTGACTTACATTACCTACAGAACCTTTCGGGGTTACGGTATCTCCGTTTGGGAACATGCATTCGACATATCGCGCCCAGCTGCAGCTCCGGATTCTATGGGAGACCTTAAAACCTCTTCTGTAGTTGTACACCTCAGTTCCCTCTACTGGCGCACTCGTTTGAGCGTATAAATAAATAAATAAGTAAATAAATAAATAAATAAAAACCTGTCAACGTCCTAACGGATTTACCCAACTGTCATGAGATTGTTTAGGCATCAAATAGGGTGTGTTGACAAATGGCGCGCTATCACACACGCATGGCACGGGATTGAATCCCGGATCGATGTCCGCCTAGACTGTCCAAGCCTTCCATCACTCCGGGGTCGGATAATTGGTACCAGACATGTCTGGGAGGATAAAAGCACTGACTTGTACATCGGCTGGCCACCGCAAGTCATTGTATAGGCCACATACGCACTCATTACGCCACTAAAATTCTGAATGGAAGTCGAGTGCGGGGCGCGTCCCTCAGACGGGATTGGTTAACGCCCACAGACATTATCCTTTATCCTTCATCAAGAACAACGGCCAAAGATTCAATAATACATAATCT